GTATTTTCCACTGATGCAGGTTACAATTAATCTGATTTATAATAATTACTTTTTAATAATATTATGAATAACGGAGCAGTGGTATATCAAATTGTAAGTTTTAAAAGACAATGGTTGTCGATATTATCTTTTAGATGATATCAATGACGATTGTTGTAAGAGAAGCTTGCGACAGATATATTATCATCATGTCACAAAAAAAAAAAAAAAAAGAATCAAAAAATTCCAAGGGTTCGAATTGTAGGGCGATTCTTTTTTTTTTTTTTAGCGGATGTGGTATATATATATATATCATATCTTTTTTTTTCTTTTTTGATAAATAAAAGCCCAATTTATGTGTAATTTTATTAACTATAAGTTGTTCTGCCCTGAAATTTGCCACAAGATTTTTAGTAATAATTAATGATTTGTGAAACCGAAATGATCAATCTTTTTTTTTCTCCTTAATAAATAGTCATCTTTGATTTTTTGGAACTCAAAATCTTTAGAATTTTACTCTGATAAAATAAATCTTTTAATAAAATTCTCGATAAATATGTCAGAAATAAACAAAAGTGTAAGTTTTTTATTAATAAAAAAAAATTAGAGAATATATATATATATATAAACCATCGAAAAATCGATTTTTTTTTGATAGCCAGAATTTGACGTTGCTGCTAAAGAATTCGAAGAACTTGTAAAGAAATACAGTCTTTCTAATGAAGAAAAATTGGAAGGATATGCATTATTCAAGCAAGGGAGTGTAGGCGATAACACTAAAGGTGAATTGTTTTATGCGTTATGATTTGATTTTTATTTTTATCTTATCGATGGATCATTGATTTAAATCTCTCGAATCTAATAAAACATTAGCTGCACCTGGTTTGTTCGGTTCAATGTCTGATAAAGCCAAATGGAATGCTTACGATGCTAAGAAAGGTTTTTTTTTTGTTTTCTTTTGATTTTTGGAATTCTGACATCATCTTTTTTACAGTCTTTGCTTTATTATACTGAAAATAAAATCAGGTACATCTCCCGAGGATGCACAAGCTCAATATATTGCTTATGTCGCAAAACTCAAGAAACAATATGAAGATTCAGCATAATTTCGATTTACGTTATTAATTGCATTTTATTCATTTGAGAATTTTATTGATTTTGTTTTTTTTATATATATATTTTCTCGTCGATTAAAAAAGAATAAATAGCAACATATGTTGAATAACAACAGTATCATCGAGATCTTTTGATTGTCAATATATATATTATTCTATCAATCAAAATCAATAATCTGTACATGCTAACCTTAATTAAGAGTGTGCTTACTCAGTGGGAATGTATCTTACACAAGATTTTTCACCCCATGTGATCTTATAAATTATTAAATCATTTGTCATCTATCCACTTTTCCATTTTTACTAAGTATTCTGGGGACGGAATTTTAATATCATATTTGTCACGCTCTTATTTGTCACAAGGTTAATTTCTTAATGTCGTAATGCCGGCAAAAGTCACGTGAGGTGAAAATTCTTGGGGTTATATATAGTTTAGGTCGATTACTTTTTTTTTTTTTAATTATTCAGTTACTATTGTCTTGCGAAACGTCATACGTCAATCGTTCGTACAACGCTTGAGTCACCTGAAGTGTGTACGGAGGGACACAAGAAAGCCCATCATTAACTCAATTTTTCCATATTAAGTTCACAAAAGATCCGAAGTCTTGACACCAAAATAGTTATCTAATAACTAACCAAATCTTTATCTTAAATAAACGAATTAGTTTTCAGTGATCAAAAACTTAGATATGACATCTTTTTTTTTAAAGAATTGAATTATTACAATGATATTAAAAGTTAAATCGTAAACGTTTATATTTTTTGATCCCCCAAAAAATAATGAATACATAAATATTTTAAAAATTTAGAATCAAAGAAATGAATTTTTTAATCGATTTTCTTTCCTTTTTTTTAAAAAAACAGACAGATTATAATTTTAAAAATTTATACAAATAATTAAATAATATATATCTACACATATCGTACATAATAAATAAATTTTTTTTGAGGTTACACGTTATTCAAATGACCAGTCGTCTCATTGGTAATGTATGTTAAATCATCCGAATAATCATTCACAACGCGTTCAACATTCTCATCATTGATGACATCCTTCTTAACTTCGGGGGGTGATATGTGGATTATATGACGAAATTGGTTTTTATCATCATCATTTTTTCTGTTGAAGAAACGATTATGTAACTGAATCAACCAAGGAGAAACCGGGTTAGCGGAATTAGATAAACGTTGGACATCCGATTCAGAAAGTCCGTCTCCACCCCAATTGTCCCTAAAAGATTTTTTGGATGGCTCTATCTTTCCCCTGGATAAAATTTTAATTATATATATTGTAATATTGATAATTAAATAAGAACCTATACCAGCGATTAAACCATAAGCAACGTTATAAGTTAAAGGAATTAAAATTATGGTAAGAAAAGCCGGTACGGAATCACCAATATATTCCCAATTAATGTACTTGACGGTTCTTAACATCATGCTGCCAATGATCACCAACGCAGGACCAGTCGCCCATGGAGGTATTGAGGCAAATATAGGAATGAAAAAGATGCTTATGCCAAAACAAATCGATGTCACCAAAGCGGTTACGCCAGTTCTACCACCTTCTGATATACCAGAACTTGATTCTACGAAAGCCGTTACGGACGAAGTACCAAATACCGCACCGATTGATATGGAAATGGCGTCACAAATGAAAGCGGCAGTTGAACCTTCAAAATCCCCCGTTTCATCGTCTATGAATCCACCAAATTTTGCTATGGAATATAATGTGCCCGTCGTGTCCAATATATCCACGTATAAGAAAGTCATTAACGCGAACCAAATTTCACTATCACTAAAATCAAATTTCATGGCAACCAAAGTATTTTGTATCGGGTAAAAATTCACCACCTTTTTAAAGAATTCATATCTATCATTGCCTTGTGGTGTGTTAGGAAAATAGGTGAAGGCGGTATTTCTAAACCATGATATTATGCTAACTAAGATTATACCGATTAATACACTTCCTCTAACCTTATATAACATCAATAATGACATTATTATGAACCCAAGTATTCCTAACCATGTGGTCGCACTCTCCATTTTATGACCCAAACACTTTCCCGTGATACTATCGAATTCTTGTTGTGGGCACCCTCCCAAGGTGACCAAAGTAGAAGGTTCATATGTGATTAATCCTATGCCTGTCGACTTTTGTAATCCGATAAACGCCAAGAACAATCCGATACCTGTCCCGGCGGCTAATTTGATGCTCATTGGGATAATTCTGGCCAAGTATTGTCTTATACCAAATATTGATAACACAATGTATAATAACCCTTCTAAAAAGACCGCTGCCAATGCTACTTGATACGATATCTTCCCACTTCCATGATATCCAACCACTGTGTAGGTAAAATACGCATTCAACCCCATTCCGGGCCCTAATGCGATCGGTAGATTTGTAAAGATTCCCATAATCGCCGTTCCTATACACGATATTAATGCTGTTGCGGTTATCAAGTCATGCTTAATCGTTTCTAAACATTTTTCGTAATTTTCATCTCCAATGCAAAACTTATTTATTTCTGAAGTACATTTACATGGTCCTCCACTATCCGCTATTATTGTGGCATTAACTGATATGATATATGCCATTGTAATGAATGTTGCTATCCCCGCCCTAACTTCCGTCGTAAATTTTGTCCCTTCTCTTGACGACGAAGATGGTGATCCATCTAATTTAAAATACCTTCCTATTGGCGAAACTGCTATAAAATGGTTTAATTTACTTATTCTACCCATTTTAAAATTATTAACTTTTATTTATTATTTTTTCTTTTTCTTTTATATATAATTCGAAGAGTAAAGGATGGGATAAAGGAATGGGACAGAAAAAAAAAGAAATTCCCAGACGGTCATTAAACACGAAAAATTAATATATATATTTAGATATTTAATTTTGTCCGATTTTTCACTATTTTAATTTATATTTATGTGTAAAAAAAAAAAAAAGAAAAATATACACGCACACCAAATAACACATAAATAACTATTAAAATCATTATTATTTATTTACTTTTTTTTTTTAATGTAATTCGATGAAAATAAAGTACCAATTAAAATTCCTTGATTATCATATTATTAATTCTCATAGCATGTACAATAATTGTATATTGAGAACCTTTTTTTTCCTATTAATTAAAATTCGGTTTACAATGAGAAAAGAAATCTTATTCCTTTCCTTTTTATTTCTTTTTTTATTTTTATTTTTATTTTTTTTTTGCCGGAACGTTGGAGGTTGATCTGTCATATCCAAATAAAGGGGGTCGTTTGATTTTCATTCGGAAATTACGCGGTCACTAAGATAAAATTAGAATTGATTAGACCATTTTTAATTTAAAGAGGAGGACCTAATTGAGCTTTATTTGTTTTATTACCAACACATGAGTTTACAATTAACAATTTAGTTTGTCCATTTCGGTATTATTATACTTCCGGAACATGGCAAAGAATAAAAAAAAAATAAAAAATTCAATTCACTTTTCTTCTTTATAATAATTTTATATTTCACCAGACATTTATCCGCTTCATCAGAAATTCTCGGATATTTCCGGAATTGCTTAACACACGAATACGATTCTTATTCACTTTCCAATCTAAAATAAAAAAGTTATTAGCTATCGATAGAATATAATGTTCTAGAATTCCATGTAATGTACGTTATCAAACCTAAACCAAAAAAAAACCCGGACTGATGCGGATAAAGATGCATTTAAAGTATAACCTAAGTAAGTTCTTTATATATGATAAAGTTTATTTTTTAAATTGAATTTTAAAATTTCTTGAACAACGATGCAAGATGATGCAAATGCATCTAATATTCTCATATTACACTCCTATTCGTTTAGTAAATCGATTTTTCGATTACTGATATAATATATTTTTTAATATCGCTTTTCGATCGTCGGAACGATTATTTTCATGCTCAAAACACGTTTCCTTTATTGTATTTAGCAAATGATCAAAGTATAATTTAATGGTCAATGCTATGAAGATTTATCAATCAAGTAAATTATTAAAATATTCGTAATTTTAATAACGTCCGTTTTCGGATGAATTGTTACCAACACAAAAAAAAAATAATAATGCACGTTTTCACCTTTTTTTGCCTCCTCGAATGAGCCTTTTCACCTCGCATGACAGAGTGCATCGCTTCAATAAGTCCTCCAATTAGAAAGGGTTATATTCTTTTTATTTTGAGATTTTATTTATAATATTCTCTCGCCAATTATGGATTGAAAAGACAGTCAATGTAAGGGCTTACAGCAAGTCCCACGTTTTTTTTCTTACGTTGTATTTCTATCTCTTTGCTATGTGAATTACGAAATCTTTTTGATCTTAGTTATCTTATTATCTTTACAAAACACATGAATGTTATTATAAACATAGAAATATTTTTTCGCGTGTTTCCGTAATTTATTTTATAAATAAAATGGGTTCATGTAATTTACGACGAAATTATTTTATTTATGTAAATTAAGTCGAGAAAAAAAAGCAATTAAATTAACTCTAATCCAAAGGTAAAAGATAAAAAAAAAACACCCTGGTATAATATAGAAAAGTACTAGATAAAATAAAACCTTCTCATAAATCTCAATATTTTATAAAGTTGAGCCATTCATCTAGTAGTAGGTAATAAGGGATTTATTTATTTCTTTCCTTTGCTTTTTTTTTTTTTTTTTTTTTACTACAATTAAACATTAAATTAGTTGAATTGATTACATAAAGTGTATTAATTATAATTTAAATTAAAATAAATAGGTGAGTAATTTTTTACTATGATATATAAGATTTAAATTAGTTGTCTTTACGAGATAAATCTCCAAGTGGTAAACTGATTGGTGACAAGTCGGGCGTTAAGAGAGTAGCGGCCATACAATACCAAACAATCGATGAGGTCATTATACCAAGGACACCAGCAAGCTTTACAAAGAAAGACGTTATGGTAAAATGGTACAACGTCAAAGCACCGAAGGTCATCGTCAAGCATATGAAAGCTGACAATACACCCAAGTTTGTTCGTATACAAGCCAATGTAAAGATGAAAGTAAATATCAACCATGCTAAACAATAAACTGCAAGAGCATTGTTCAATTCTCTGTCGTTATCTTTATAAGCATCCAAGATACCAAAAGCTGGAATGTAAATTACTCCAAAGGAAGCCCAGAATCCACCGAATGCAGAGAACCCAGTTCCTCCAAATGTGTTTCCAACTTTGAATTCCCACATACCAGCTGCAAACTATTTAAAGTAAACGGTTATTAATTTTGACACGATTTTCCTAATTCATATCGAATATGTATGCGTGACAACTTACTTGAACGACACCTCCTGTGAATAAAGATACACCGACCACCATGTTTGGTGCTGTAATACTGAATGCATTAAAGTTGTAGAATGATACAACCATGGTGGACAAGGCGAAAGCCGAAAGACCGAGAGGAGTGGGATTTCCAAGTTTCGGGGCATGTCTCCTTACGGCAGAAGATTGATGTCTAGGTTTTTCGGTCCTAACGTAGTCCTGTACGTAAATTTGTGTGTCCGGCATATTTTTTATTTTAAAGATTATTGTATGGTTGGATAGATAATTTCGGAGTACTAATAATTTTGCAATGGTTCAATTAAAAAAAAAATTAAAGATGAAAAAAAAAGTTGTCCTTTTTATAATGCTCAATAGAACAAGGATTTTCTTTGAAAAATGAACGTACCACAGATAATAATGGGGGTTTTTTTTTTAAAAAAAAAGAAAATCATTTAATGAATTTAAATGTGATGATTTGCGTTGCAAATCCGTTTAATACGAACCTTATTTTATTTTTTTAATTTTCCCAACACGATTAGATAAAGCAATCTTTTTTTACTAGTTTTGGAAACCTTTTTTAAACAACAAAATGAATCGGACTTTTATGGGATTTAAAAAATTCGACTCACGACTTGTGTTTTACCCAAATGAATTTAGTATCAAATAATTGGTATTTCTCGCGAAGTAGATTGCTCTCAATATTACTCTCAAAAGGCATTAATTTTTCTCAAATTTAAATTTGATATCTATTAAGAAAGAACTCCCGAAAACTCAACACATGTGAAAAAAGAAATCATACCGAGATTTACATCTGTGGGGATTTACTAATTTAAGCCATAACGAAATGTGTTCGTACTCATATTAAATAAAATTAATTATAATATAATAAATGATACTTTGCACTTTCAATAATGACCAGAGTCTTGGATGAATAATTCGCAGGAAACTTTAATGGCCATGTTGGAACTTATTTCTTTATTAATACGTTTCTTTTAATCAATTCATTATTTTTGATTGTAAACGTTATCTTCTGGTCTGTTGTCCTAAATAAATCGTTGTGCAACTTTTAACTTATGACAAACGAGGTTCGAATATTAAAGCATAATTCGAATATTCATTATAAAATTTTACACCTATTTTAAAATCTTTTTATAAATGTAAATGTAAATTTTGATGATTAATAATATCAAAAATAAGTTGCATCTAATTAGACTAATAAACCCATTCAAATGATTTCTTCGAATTTACGAATTTCAAACCTTTGGAATTTTAAAATTTTACTTGAATATATAATTATACTCACGTGTAGCTTTTTTTTTAATCCGAAATTTAATATATCTATCTATAAATGACTCTATAATGTATATCTTCTCTAATTTATATGAGATCGGGGAAGGGGTTGCTGATATTTAATAAAATCCTTAATTTTAATTTCCTTAAATTACTGTCCTATAATAAAACGTTGCAATATTTATGAATGTTAAAATGTTATTTGTCACCTATCATTTGTTCATTACCCATTGGGAACAAAATAGAAATATAGAAATTCTCGTTTTATTTTCTTATATACCATACATACTGTATTGTGTGTATGAATTATTTTTTTTTTAATCATATTACTCGGATCGGATTTTTTAATCCATATGCATCGTTGAAATCGTTCCAAAAGAGTAATTTCGAAGCAATAACGATAAGTATTAAACTTAAAACAAAAATAAAACAAAAAAGAAAATGTGATTTATTCATGTAACACCATTGGGTAAATAAATACTTTAATAAGGACTAATTTGAAAAACTACTTTTTTAAGCGTGAATATATACAGTAGATGATTTTCTAAATTTTCTCTGCTTTTTCATCATTTTTAACTTTAAATAATGTCCCGATACTAACTAAAGGTTTAAGACGCAACACAGTAATTCTAAAAATCTTCTACAACCTAATTTTTTTCGTTTTTCGGTTTGCTATTGTTATGCATGAAGGAAAGCTTATTACTTAAAGATAAACGTGATGGGCATGGTCAAGAAGTTTCTGAAAAAGTCATTATCCAACTTACATTGTTCAAGGGATACGTGCTTATGAAATAATTAATAATAACGATATGCAACGATTTCATTTTGAATGCCAAGTTTATTATTAATCAAGGTATTCAATGTATCCTACATTTCACAATTGTACTTTTCAAAATTTTATTCTTTATATATAATGTGAAAACAATTAATAAAAGCATATTTAGCAGTTTAAAAATTAATCATACTACACCCATAAAAATATCTAAAAAAAAAAAAATAATAAAATTTACAGTTTAAATAAGCTTAGACAAATAGATTGTTCCATCTAATTAACCCAAATATTCAAAAAAAAAAAACACTATACAGAAAAATTAAACATTCCATTATAGATCATATGATTTATTTTTTACGTTTTTACTAATACTTCGATTTTATTAGATATTTATTATTATAAACATAATTATTTATTTCTTTTAAAAATGATAATTTGAATATAATAGTCTATAAATATAAATTCTTTTGATTTAAATAATAAGTATAAAAAAATAATACTAACTGATTTTTAAATACTTAAATAATCAATATATTCTTTTTTTATATTACAATTTAAAAAGATAATATGAATTTTTTTTGAAAAAACCTAAACTGATTTAATTTAATTTGAAAGTTTAGATTAATCTAAAATTTTAATTTAAAAATTAATTTTGACTATTAATTTAAATAATTAATTTTATATTAGAAAGAAGTTTTTAAAATCAAAAATAAATTCTATTATTAAAAATTCATTTTAAATATAATGGTTATATTATATTTTTAATAAAGTTTATTAATATTTAAAGATATATTTTATTAAAATAAATTAAGAATTACTTTATTTTTAAATTAATAAATAGTACTTTTAAAATTAATCTGAAAGTTTTTAATTTAGATCAAATTATTAATCAAAATACATTATTTTAATCCAATGAATCAGATTGAAATTTTATGCTATTTAGCATATTTTACCAATTAAATATAATTTTAAAAAAGTTTTTGATAATTAATGTAGCTAGACAAAATTTAGAGTTTAGACAGATGTTTAAATGGTAAAGGTAAGTAAGACTTGGTTAAATTATATTAAAACCTTATTAAAAATCTTTGAAATTCAAAAAAAGGTAAAACTATAGCTTATAAAATAGTGAAACTATATCAAATACTTAGTAAAAATTTAGCAAAACTAAAGATTTAAATGTTTAGTTAAATCCAAAATGAGTTTAAATAAGTAACCTTAGTAATAACAGATTTCAATTAAATATAAATTCTAAATTTTAAAAAGAATTTTTTTTTAAAAGATTTATCTCTTATATCGTAGGATTTTGTAGGCAAATTAAATTTACTTGCTTATTTACTATAATTTCTATTCTGATTTACTTTTATAAATAATTAATATTTTTAAAAAAAATTAATTTTATAAATATATAATATATAATAATAAGTTTTATCCTTTAATTATATAATAAAAAATTTAATATTACTTAGAAACTAAAAATTTGTAATTTTTAAAAAAAAATTATTTTAAAAATTTCATAATTAATCTATGATAAACTTTTTAGAATTTA